AAGCGAAGTTTTGGAGTTTCATAGCTACGATGTGGAAAATTCAATGAAATATTTTCATCATTTTCATGGACATCTTGCCGTCTCTATCATAAACCGTGTTCGTTTTTTTTTTCTTTATTTATTCATCATTAAATCTCCTATAAATGCACAAAAGTCCACAATCTGCCAATTATACAGATATTCTTCGATCACTGTCATTGATTCACTCGTTCAACGTTTTGAGCTAACAACGCAAGACAGAACGCGTGAATTTCGTCCACGTTCTAAAATTGGTCCCTGTTCGACCTTGTGGACAGTAACAGTAACAGATCGAACGAACTTGGTACAATTGGCCCGCAGCCTTGAAACACGAACTCGAATTTGCATTTCCGAGATTTCCCTCGATCCGAGCTACGTGCGAAATTTATCCGAAGTGTCCCTCCTCGGGTGGTGTTCGCGAAGATTGAACCAGGTCAGATTTGAGGGACGCGGTACCATCGTTAAACCGTATCGTTATAAATGGAGATTCACGGATCATTAATATTACCTTATAGCCGTCGCGTGTACATAGCACGACAGGCTGGATCGATTAATTGGCTAATTACTCGGATTCCTGTATTAATAGCTGACTACCTTGGACCCAGCAACATATATATTATGTATATATTATGTATATGTATATGTACAACCGTGGACGGGTATCTTTTGTCACAGTTCAATAGAAAGAGCGCAACATTGTACTTTTGTAAGTTATTAATTAACTGAGACAGGAATTCTTTAATACAATATGCTATGAATACACATCAAATACCATTTAAATCTATCCTCTGAAATATTTTAGAAATATTAATCATTAGAATTGGTTGCATCGTCGATTATAAAACAATATTTTCTTAGATGGTTTATATACTGTACATTACCTACAAAATACCTATAAATATATTAGCTATAAAATATCTATAAAATGTATTACTTATAAAATACTTGTATATTAATATAATAATTATAATACATAACGTTATATAAATATAATACCTAACAAAACAACCTATAAATTATACTGTATTAAAATGTTTTCATTTACCTATCAAATAACGTTCAATGTTCCAAGTATAATACATTGTCATCTTCATTATAAAGCTATATAAAAAAATATATTTCCATCACTACTAATTTGTAATGGTAGATAAATTATGCATCATATTTTACAAACGACAAAGATTTATTACGGACAAATTTATAGCACTTACGTTAATCAATGTAGAGTTTTCAAATTTATCAATAGTTGTTCCATTCTACATTCTACGTTATGTACAAAAGGGAGCACATCGTAGATGACAAGTTCACCTGCCATTTTTAAATTTCACACTCGGTCCCGTGATTCGCGATCTAGTTTCCAAACGACAACGGTCTTTGCGATCGTCCAGTGTTTCAAAATCTCGAGAAAAAAAAAAAAAA